TATATATATATATATCCATGTTTGATGGCCTTTAAAATTTTAAAATAAAGTTTTGAATGGTAAATTTTTGAAGAATGTATTGTTAAAAAAGGAAAAAAAGTTTTAAATTTACGTGATAAATATTTTATTGCACGATTATGCAGTTATAAAAGAGTACGCAGGAAAAGAAAATTTTAGACCATGGTTGTTAAACATAGGCTATGATTCTTCCTCATTTCTTTACCTTTTTTAGAGATTATTAAAAAGTCTAATTAATGTTTTCAGAGTTTATTAAAAATTGCTCATCATTTCTAAGGTCGGTCGGTTCACGACTTTCATCGCTCATCCTCATAGAAAATTAGGATAATGTTATGTGTACATCTTGTGATGTACATAATTTTTTACACCCCCCTCACATGGAGGGGGTTTCACAAATATTTTATTGTATGTGGGCCCCCTTCGTGTGAGGGAGGTGTAAAATATTGTGTATATGTAACACAATCCAGAAAATTGATGTATATCAAAATTGCAAGAAAAAACTATAACATTAGTTCTCAGCCGACCATTTAATTTATGGCTGTGAATCAGCCACGTCTACTAAGAAATAATTTATCATTTATTTATATCAATCATCATTACAAAAAATGGAATATAAGGCTACTGGGGTTTGGTATTACCTACAGCCGAATGATCCAATCCTTCGCTCTCTTCTCTGTCTCCTCTCTACAAAATCTATCATATTTTATTTCATCTTCGATGAAGATGATGAAAGCTGCAACAATTCACGGAAGAGGCAGATTTCCAGTTTGTGCGTGAATTTAACCCGATGAGTACACACTTGATCTGGGGGATTTTGATCGTAAATTCAGTCAACAAATTCGTGATTTAATAATTAATTGGTGTTGTATTAGTTCGTTAGATTCACGCACAAACTCGAAATCTGTCTTTTCGCTTTTCCGTTTCGATATTACAAATCTGTTATTTTCTAAATCGCGACTTCTAAGAAAGGCAATTTCTATCGACCAGGTTTGTTGTCTAATTGATCTTTATTTATTTATTTATTTATTTATATTTTGTTAATTATTTTGATTTTGTTTCGATTAATCC